CCTCCTCTCTCTCTCTCTCCTCCCCCCCCCCTCCCTCCGTTCATAGACTCCCCGTGGACTTTTTTGATGAAGATCTCGAGGGGGTTTCGTTTGGATGGCGCACGACGCTGACTGAACGTGCCACCGACTGAATTATTGTGTACGCGGATCTCTAAATCATAGAAACAACAAATTGCACGCCGGTGAACGGGGTATTCGCGGTAAACTCGTATTCGTGGAACACGCGTAATAGCATTTACGTATGTACTTTCATACGGACATGCCGCGGGCAACGCCAGCAGTTTTTTTGAATCGATTGAAATATGGGGATCGAGGCAGATTCACCAGGGCCAGCTTAATGAAAAATGGTTAACTTTAGAGTAGTATTCGCGCGACGAATGCTGGTACGACGGCTCTCTTGCTACACACACGCTTCAACTCGAAGCCCCTTAATCCGTCTCAACTCTCTCGTTGGCTGTGCGTTGTCACGCGACACCCTCATCGAAATATTTCCCGCTGAGATGATCCACCACCAGTTTCGTCGGCAAAGTTTCCGAGAATGGATATTAATGATCTCGCGACACTGAGATGGATTAAGGCACGGGATGGAAATGCGTATCGCGTGCGTACGCATTTTCGAGGATACTTTGTCACTTTGTGAAAAATTTCATTCGACGCGTCGCGTTGCTGGCAACGCACGTATTTCTCTACATCGACACAGGTTGATATGTTATTTTATATATATATATATCGTAGATACTTTCGAATTTATCCGTCGAAATTAATTACTATTTAATATATTTATAAGTATAAATTTTGCGTTCGTACTTGGGGGAATGTTTCATAAGCTGCGGTGAGTATCGATTCGGGCTAGGGATATGGACTCTTGTTTGTTCAGAAATGTACATAGACGTGGAAACAAGTAATTGAATTGAACGTAGGATGAAACCGCGCGTATCCATCCAACTGTAGAATCAGATGACTGGAAGCCCCCGTTTACATGATCTAATACGGATTTGTCAGCACACGATTCCCAATCTGGCCAAAATCCGCTGAAATCGGCGATTATCGTGGAGAGGAGAAAGCCCGAGGCACGAACTCTATTCGAGGTCGATCCAGTTTCCGACGTTGCGTCCTACTACATTTCGACTTCCGGCCGTGGCACCCTCTCGAGGCATCGAATGGGCACGCTCGAATTGGGAGCGAATACCTTTGCTCGAACAATGCTGCCTTCAGCTGGATCCGTGAAGTCCTCTCAATTATGCGGCGATGCTAATTACTCGCGAGCGCGCAGTGAAGAACGGCCTATAACCCGCACAACCACCCTTCGCAAACTTCGCCTCTACCCTTCCATTCTCTCCTCTCCGTTATATCCACCAAAAAATTAAACGGAATCGCGAGAATTTTTGATTGGAAAATTTTTATTGACCGTTCACGCGTTTAGTTCCATCACTGGTTACTTTATACCACTTTTCTTTAATTTAATTCCTTAAAAAAAAAAAGAAAAGAAAAGAATTTTGAAAGAAAATTTTCGACTTTTTTTTTTTATGAATCTCGAAATGAAACGAAAACGTAATTTTCATTTTTCGATCCCGAGATTAAAAAAGAAAAATCGAAGAAAATGAAAATGCTAAACAATAGATTATTCGATAAGAAGGAAAGTTTTTATCCGTGATCAGGATTACGTTGAATTTTGCGAAGCCACGTGCCTCGAGTGTATATCCCTTTCTTTAATGCCACGGTCTTGATTTTAGTTAACGACTTTCACCCCTAACTGCGCTACTAAACGTGACCATACCGCAATGCCGCGGTAAATGAAAAGCAAACGCCGTGCTTGGTACGGAGACCGAGGGATTGGCAAACATCGGTTTCGACGCGCGGCTGATGAAAAAAATTTCAATTAACCGATGCACTAGATCGGGGGGCGGGCAGAAGGGGTAGACAGGATCGACGATGTACGCTTTTCGTACGCCCTCTACAGGCTGGCCGTGGCAAAAAAAGTGAAAATTAATTACTTCGTCGTTGACGCCAGAATCGGAAGAGGGATCGATCGTTCGCTTGATAGGATTAAATCGCGTGCCATCCCGTTTACCTTTTCCACGTGTCTTCCTTCTATTTTTTTTCTTTGTTCTTTTCTCTTTTTTCTTCCTCTTTCTCTCTCCTCCCCTCCCCTTCTTTTCTCATTTTCAGTTTTATCGCGACCGATACCATCGATCTTGCTTTTTCTGGACACGGTTGATGACACACAACGAAAGATGATTACGTTGTTCGTTGTGTGGGGGAAGAGGGGGGGGGGGGGAGAAAGGGCAGGGAGTTGGCTATCTCGCGGACAAAGTTCTTCTTTCGATGCCTCCCCGTGGAAAAGAAGGGATTTATCTCGACGTTGAGGAGAAAGAGTCGGCGTTTCGAGGATTCGAGGGTAGGGTAAAGTAGGGCGGACGGCGAAGCGGATTTTTATTCTCGAGTAAACTTGGACGAGAATTATATTTTGTACGAAGTTTTTAACGCTACGATTACGAAGTTACGAAGGACAGTAATGAAGATGATAAATTTAATTCATTAACGTTTGTCTTGTTTTTTTTTTTTTTGCTTTCTTTTCTCTCTCTCTTTCTTTCTTTCTTTTCTTTTTTTTTTTAATTATGGAGCTTTTCCTTTTGATTCTTGGGAGAAATAAAGGAGCCGAAGGATGTTTTTTCATTTGACGTCTAATCACGGTGATTCTCAGTTTCGCGTAAAGCGAGCCACGCTCTCGTTACCGCGCTTAAAAACGCGTCCTTATCACGTTCAGCGTTGCTCGTTACGAAAGCTACAATGAAACCATCCGTCCCTCCAATTACACCCTCTTCCATCTTCTTATTTCACCTTTCTTTATTTCCTCCATACACTCGAGGCCTTTCCGAACCAATGTTCTCGAAACGTTTAAATGATAAAGAACGTCAAGTGCTAATTATTTACACTGAAAAGAATCCTATTTACACCGTTCACGTAGCTTCTACGAGAAAATTACTTCTCGTGTCTCGTTCAACGAGCTTTGAAAATCGTACCTTCTCTCGTCAAGACTTTAAAACTCGGCCGAACGAACCGACTTTTTTTTTCCAACTAACTTTTCGCCGGAATTAAAAAAAGAAAAGAAGAAGAAGAAAAAAAGAAATTATTCTCAATGTTTATTTTTCTCATTATACAAAATCCTCCGTATTTTTAAATAAATAACGAACCGAATGAAAGGAGCGAGGTAAAAAAAAAAAAAAAGAAAAAAGAAAAAATGAATCGAGACAAGCAGACGTAACGCTCGTATAACGTCAATAGAGATTCTATCGACATCGAGAACAAAGAACTGTATTCGACAGCGTTGAACGCGCCTCAATAGCGATTCCCCGATGGCTGACGAATTAAACCATCCGCATTTTCCCTAAACCTCGGATCCGCGTAATTGATGAAACGCCGGTTCAAGCGAGGCGTTAATTTTTTGACCTCTTCCGATTGTGCGGGGGTGATGAGGCCGTAAGACGGGTAGGGGTAGTGGAGGGTAGGGAGAAGGGAGGCGGGGATGGTCGTTGTGTGTAACACAGTCGACTTCACTGATTGCCAATATGGCGGAGGGTATGGAGGGAGGGTATTGGAGCCTCTCTATCTCGATCAACGCGGATCCACAATGCGCCGCGGGCGTTAATTCCCCCGTATTGCACCCCCGCGATTCAATTGTTCCAGGTTCGCGGCCACAGCGGTGGTTCGTGCCGCGAACGAGTGCCGTACGCGACTCATAATGATGTAATTTTCCAAGTGGTGGCGTATCATTGTTGTTGGACGTGTTCATCGTCCCAGCCAAAGTGGAACTCGAGGAACGCGTTTACACGCGACACGCGAACATCTCGTTGGGCTCCTCTTTGATTCTTTGCCCGGCTTGATCGGTTTCGTTCGTTTCGACCGTTGTTTCCAGAAATCCGCTGTGTTGATTACACGGCATAGGATTTTTTCCTCCCCCTTCTCGAAATTAAAAGTTTCTTTCCTTGGGAAATTCGAAGGGCGTGCACGTGTGTCGTGGCTGGTTCGAAGCAACGATAATCTCTTCCCTGAGATAAAAACAAGAGCGGATAGCTCGCGCTCGAGTTTTTTATTGGTCTTGGTGGTGGAATGCACGGTTGTGTTGCGCCAACACGTGAAATTGCGACCATTTATTATGCATCCGCGCTATCATTTGTCCGTGCACGTGTACGTGCGTTTTAAAATTTGATCAAAGCTCGTGGAATTGTTGCGAGGCATCGTTGCAATTTCAACGTGAAGAGGAAAGAATAGGGACGGAGAGACGGTTGTCTTTTGAATAATTCGAGAACGTGGGGAATGTTTTATTTAACGATCGGTGAACGGGATAACGAAGCTTTAAACGACGTTGGAATACAATGTCGGGTAAATGGTCAAACGGTGCATCGATTTTGTTCCGCGACAAGGAGCATCACGAGGCGCATAGCCGGTCTTTATTTCGTTGGCATCGATTATTCAAGGGGACGCCGCCGTCACTTTCGTGGAAACGTTTTATCTCGATAATGCTCGCCAACCTTCTGCCCGAAGGTTGTTAACCCCGTGGAGTCGTACGACACGCGATGGATACGAGAAACACGTAACTAAAATAAGAGAGTTTCAGCATCTAATGACAAGAATTGCGAGAAATTGTTCCAGCTCGAGTAATTTTCTTTTGCTTCCAGATAAGCTTGGGCAAGCACGTTTCGGTCGGTGAGGTGGTCACGTATACACCACATCCGGAGAATCCGGAGACAACGCTTTTAACACAACAGGCGGTCATTTCTATCCAAGGGGTGCCGCTCATAGATCATTTAGAGAGGTTACTGACAATGACGATCGAACAAAACGCGAATAAGGTAATAAACGATTATACGATCCAGTTTGCTTCGATCCCCGAGTAGTTTTTTCCATCCATTTAAAACGAATCGAAAGATCTCTAGTTCAAGTTTGAGTTTTGCATCCGGTTCGAAATTATCGCGTTATGAAATTCTTGCACAAAGAGGAACGAAATTTATTTGTCACGAGTGCGTGCAGATTTCTTCATCTGAGCGTGCAATGATTTCGTAACGGTTTATTATTTATTATTCCGAAGCCGCGACACACACGTGCGATGTAATTCGCGCGGTAACAATGCGTCTTCGCATCCGATTACGTTTCAGGGTCGTCAAGCAGTGGAATGGGTCATCGAGAAACTCCAAACGGAAGTGAAAGATATCGCGTCCTCCGCCGCGAAATCGACAGATGATCTGTTTAATCAAACGCGTCGTCAATTGGACGACATCACGAACATAACGAAACAGGGGATGGAAGATATACAAAACGTGGCGAAAAAGTCGTTCGACGAATTTCAAAATTTGACGGTGCCTCCACCATCTCAATCGATACCAAAGTTGTAGCTAATATATCACGTTAGCTTCAATCTCTTTAACTAACGCTACGTATATCTTCGATGGAACGATTGTGAACGAAAATAAAGTGACTCGTCGACAAAGAGAATTCCATTTGTCGCTGATTCAATTCAACAGATTCAACACGAGGAGGAATTTCTATATTCCACTGCCTTATACAATCGTAACGATTAACGAGAGTTTTCAATGATTTTTCATGCATCGATGAAATGCTATCGGGGTTAGTAAATTATTTTAGGAACGTAATAAGGAATAAATCATTTAAATGAATTTTTCATATACAAATATTTATATCGTTTAGGATTCAAAGAAAGACTGAGACGCGTAATATGTTCTTTTAGCGAACGAGCGAAAGATACGAAATCAAGATATATATTATATTATATTATCGAGCGAATAAAATAATGTAATGTTGCGACAAAATTTGTAAACGCGCCGATCAATCGTTCCGCGGAAGTTAAAGAGCGCCTTAGTGAAAGAGATGTAGCTGCGGCAAGAATGATTATACAACAATAATATTCGACAATATCGCAATTCGAGGATCGTATTCGGAAAGATATTGTCAAGTTTCATTGGGCCGGAAACAAAACCGAATTTCATCCAAAAGAAAATTGATAAATATACCATCGTACTGCATTTGCAAGGAAACGTCATGTACGTGTTGTGTAAGAGATTCGAGACTCTATGAATATTTATATCCAAACGCTTATCTCTTTAGTCTCTCATTTTTGTTTAAGTATTATATACTCTTGCGGAATACATTGAGACGTGACTCGTTGCAAAGCACTGTTGAACTATGTTTTCAATTTAATCGGTGCTATATCATTTTTTCTTAGTATTCTCATGTCATGTTTCCAAATAATATCGAAGAAATATTCTTTTTTTTCCATTATTTGCTATAAGCATTCATAATGTCCACTCGTGGCTTGTGCTTCAATTACAGTGTAGTTAATTTAGCAAGTAAATCGAAATGTAAATTATAAAAAAAAGCCGTAACGAAATAATAGATGTTTCAATTCATAATATAGAAATTAGTGCAACACCACGTATTCGTGTCAATTGACCGGGATCTAAACCAAAGCTTAGATTCGCCTACTCTGATACTGGAAACCACGAAGATAGAAATACATTTATTTTTAAACCAACACCACATTCATTTCTTCATTAATAATAATTAATCGCGTCTATGAAGATGAAATTCAACGGTAAGAACATAAACCGAGCGCATAAACCTTTTTTTCTTTTTTTTCTTTTTTTTTTTTTTGTTAACGGTCATCCCGCGAAACGAAACGAAAAATAAGAAAAATCATCGTCGTTGAGAAACGACGTTAATCCCCAGGTGGGTTCGTCGATACTCGTCGTATCATTTCGAAATCGTGCGCCACCAAATACCCGATCTCTCTCTCTCTCTCTCTCTTTCTCTTCCTCCTCGTTCCTTTTCCTCGATCTCCCCGAGGGAATATTCGCGCGAGTCAGCGAGCGGTTGCACGCGTCGGGGAACGAGACACGCTCGTATCATACGGGGCAAGTATCGATTCAACGATGTCGAGGGCCGGTCTCGACATTCCGCCCGAGCAATTTCCACCAAGTGGAATTTCGACCGGGTCATTATTGTTCTCGGCGGTCTAGAGACAATTTCCATCGGTTTACTCAAATCTGGCCAGCCAACTCTCTGGGTAAGTAGAGAAAGAGAAACAATGGGGGAGCGAATGGGCGGCGAGAGCGAGCGAGTGATGAGATGGATTATATAGGACGCGGTGGTGGGCGGAATCGAGGGGGAGGGAGGAAACGGACGAAATTTGACATCAGACCGGTGGTATGTAAGAGATAATTGATGACGTTACGGTTCATCGCTCGGTTACCGGACATGGACAAATATTGACAGCTTCTGATCAGAGAGGCAGCCGGTGGTGGTATCCTTTGTAGGTAGCTCACGCACGTGGTCTTCGATGTCGATTCGGTTTTCCTGTCGAATCGGCCTCCGCTTAGACCCCGCTACCGTTAGTAAATCAACCGTTCTCTGCTCGGCGGCGTGCATGTCGAGCAAGTTTCGTAAATTAAAGTGGCCTCGTTTGTCCCTATAAAGCTTGCCTGTGGCTATTGCTTGCACGTGACGTTCCGCGCTTTGAGGACAAAGTGGCAGTTTTCCCCTTTGCCTTACTTTTATTACAACCGGGGGGGCCCGTCTTCGTGCCACTTCGGTTGGAACGCAAAATTGCACCCGGAAACTTGAAGAGTTCTCTCGGCCCGGTGAATCGGGAACGAGTGGAGGGGGGGAGTAAAACCTTGCGCCCGAGATATATTAGCTTCGTGGCGGATGACATAGCGGTTGCATTGTTCATCTTTAATTGCCTGCCAATTCTCGCTCGGCTATTTTCGGGCCGCGCGTTCAAAGGAGAGCCGCTATGGTAAATCGGTTCGTAACAAGTTTCGGAAAATTCGATTAGGCTGCTTCCTTATCCCGCGGTGGAAGGCAGAGACAAAGGATCGCTTGTTATCCAACTGTTAATGTCCTTCCACTCTGTTTAATTGCTTCCCCATTCCATTCGATCCATCTCGAAAACTTTATACCATTAACCAATTCATCCGCCCCGGCTAACCGTCGCTTTTCGCGACATGGTCGGGAAAAAAATTTGATTCTCGATGATAAATCCACCGTGGTGAGAGAATATCTGACGAGTTGTTTAAAAAGCCACTCTCCACGAGAAGGGATCCACGATTTTCAAGGCTGCCCTTGCCTCTTCCATTTTCCATTCGCTTAGCTCGAGCGGGCGGAAGAAAAGGAGAGCTTCAAAGGCTGGAGCGACTGTCGAAAAGGCTCATGGTTTACACATCGTGACGGTACTTTCTCGTCAAGGCTCGTAAAAGCTCTCGGGACGATCGACTGTAAAAGTCGGCGACACGGTCAAGAAGATCCTTCTTGATTTCCCGCTTCTCGATTCACGAGCTCGTGAAAAACCACACTCCACATATTATTCCCGGTCGCTGCCCCGCTCTATATTATCCATTATTCTTTTCCATTCCAAGCTTTTCCATTGTTCTTCAGGAGGGCGGGAGAAAGGGATCCCAAATTGTTCCTGGACATAGTTGAACATTTTCTTCAAAGCGATAAATTCCTCTGCTTGTTTCCCCGCTTGCTTTTTAGCACGAATTCGAGGCTTCGTTTCGAAGTTCGAACGGTTTTACAGAAATTTTCCAAAGTTACGGGAATAATCCTTTCAGCGAGATTAATCGTTCGAATAAATGAGGTTGAATTCTCGTGAAATTTGAATTGTCGTAAGTTTATCGTTTGATTTATCGCGTACATTTCGCCGCACTATTGATTGTATCGATCAAGTAGAGTAACAATCTCGATATTCTCTCGAATATCTCCAATTTTAGAAAATAATAAAAATAATGATTGAAAGTTCTTATAATTCTTGATATTTTAAAATAAAATGGAAACTAATTAGAATTGTAAAAAAAGAACGAACGCTCTTTTTAAAGACCGTTAAATAGAAACAAAAAAGGATTAATTCTTCGTAATTCTTCTGACACGACTGCTTTTGGAATGCTTGACCATACAGAATTAGCTCGCGTCAACGTCGTATCGCAGAAATTGTAGAGAAATGGTTGAGTTGTGTGGATGGTGTAACGCAGCTACGTAGATAATAACGGTAGATGTTGAGCTGTTCTGGGCGACGTGGCGCATACGCTCCTCCTATTAGCATACAATTATCTTTATGCTTCTTTTATGATTCATATTTAGTGCCAGCTCTGCCAGCTTTTCGCTTCGTCGGCCAGCGTAGCTTCAAGTTTGCAACTTTTACGATCGCGTTTGTTCCTAAACTTAACGTTTTCCGGTTCACCCCTTATCATAGTTTCCCGGTGCAGGCCTGGTATTCTTGCTAAACGTGCATTCGCGAATAAACTCGAAGGGGCGGGAACCCGAAAATTTGTTGTCGTACGTGCCGAAAATCGGCAACAAATATCGATTCCCGCCATCCTCGTTTCTATCTCTTCTTATCGGACAAGTTCAGCCGGTCAAAAATTCATCCGGTCGTTCGTTTCGTTTTCAGTTCGATAAAGCGCGAAGGAATGAAGAACGTTTAAAAGCGACGAGAAGTTTTCTTTTTTTTCGTTTTGATATTTTTTGATCGTTGGAAAAAGGAAAAAGTTGCGAATTCCATTACGTGGAAAAAGTTCAAATAACAATGGCCTGTAACAAAGAGATAGTTACGTTATAATCTTGGATGGACCGTACCATTTTATACGCTATATGGTTTCGATCGCGGTTCCAATGACCCACCATCGCTACGAACCGGGCATTAATTTAATTAATTCAGATCCATTTGCAGGTGCATGCGAGCCAGCCATTCTGGCATTTATTTTGCGCCATTTGGACCTTATTTTTGACGAAACGCGAGCTCGCTATAATTGCCTAGGAAATGTCTGCATTGGACGGTGTTTCATTTAATCCGCGTTTTAGGCTCGTACACATTTTCGTAATTTTCTCTAATCTCTCTCGCCAGGACTTCTGGATTTTTACCGTACAGCGCCGTTTTATGATTGATAAGCGGAGATGGGGAATTACTTTGCATAACGGTGAAATTTTGAAATTCTTTCTCGTAACGAGTGAAATTCTCCAACTCTTTCATTCATTCAGCGTCAAAATTGTAAAACGTATTGTTGAAGGGCAAAATGTAGCTCGAGTCGTGGTATAAATCAGCAATGAGGATCGTTTTGGAGGGAAGTTTGATTTCAGTAGTTTTAGACCACATCCGGCCGAATGGCTAATAACGGACGTGCTCCGACTACTAATCGGCTTTGCGGAGATTTCCTGATGTACGGAGAGGTATATGGGTTAAATGCCGCGGGGAAAGGGGTCAAAGGGGCGAGATTAGATGCTTGCGACGGACTTCTACGGGAGTTGTGCATAATGCATGGCTCCTCGATAGTTTGTCGATTCGTAATAGTATTCATCCTGTCGGAATATGTTTTACATGAAATTTACAAGTGACGTGAATGGAATACGAGAAATATTATTATTCCAAGTCTCGCGAATAATTGTTATGAATTTGATACCGCGATTATCCTTCATTCTCTCCTCGAAGTCGATCTTTGAATTTTCTACCTGCAAAAAATAAATAAATATAGGTACAAAATAAAAATAAAAAATGGCAAAAAATAGGAAGGAATCGCATCGAATTGCCGCTCTGATTTTCTTTCTTCTTCTTTTCCTCCTCCTCCTCTCCCTCCCCTCTCCTCTGAATTAATTTTCCTTCGACCAAGCTCTTCCCTCCCGTTGAGAATTCATTTACATGTAATCTCGGAACAGTTGATGGTATCTATAATTGGAGGACGAACAGTAAGAATCGATGCTCGCAAAGTTTGTTTCAATATTAATTTCTTATCGTCTTGTGTTGGCCGACGAGGGCGAAAATATACCGGTCTCACCTCTCACGTTGTGCAAACGTACTAGGAGAAACTAGTTGGTCGAATATCTTGCGATCTCTACGAAGCGGGAAGGTGTAAGTACCGTGTTAGTCTTTGGGGTTACGTTGCTACTCGCAGAGCTAACTAATAGCCTCTTAGCCTTGGCTTAGAGAGGATCATGCTACACCAGCCGCACCCTCCATTGCTCTAAGACTCGAGCCGCACATCCTCAACCCTTGGTGCAATCCTTAAGCCACGGGCAGGCCTGCAAACAACCGATTTCCACCCGCTCCTCTGTGCAGCGCAGACGATGGATTAAGGATAATGATCGATTGGATTCCACTTTATTTCCCCCTCCCAACCGACATATCGAACGATCTAATCCCAAACGACTCGTCTTGTCGAGTTGTCTCTCGAGCGGAAAAATTTCGCGCTATTACTTTCGATGATTTTTTTTTTTTTTTTTGTCAAATTGAATTCGTATCGAATCGGGATAAAAGAGAGTTGGAAATTCGCAGCGGTTCGAATTAGCAACAGCTTGATTAAACCGACAGCGGGCCTGCCTCGTTTTCATTCTCATAAAGAAGTCGGGGAATATTGGACGCAATAAATTCTCGCTCGAGACGCAACACAGATTTTCATCCTCACGGTTATTCGTTTATTCCCGCTAGCTGCGTTTTCTCCGTACAAATGAACCTGTTACCGAAGGGTTTGCGAGAAATTTACATTCGCCCCGGAGAGAAAGGTGAAACAGAGCGAAGGAGAGAGATTTCTACGGTTATAGTTCAGCCAACGGAAGCGGCCGTCTCCGCTTCTTCCCCATGAGCAGACTTTCAGCGAAAGCTCAATCGGTGGATTTGCGGTAACTGTTCGCTCTGTATGCATTCGCGTATTTCTCAAATCCCTTGCGGATAGCGGGACCGTTTCCTTTTCGTTCCGTGGATATCGTTCGCGTAAATATGCGTGTAATGTGTGTATATATATATATATATTACGTTTTCGTGTATACAACAAAAATTTACAAACACGAACGTATTACCAGGGAAGATCCGTTTATTCGATATACGCCTGTGTATGCATGCACGCGCAATTATGTAAACGATACCCGTGTAAAATCGTAAATACGGAATAAAGAAATACAAAAATGCGAGGAGAAGGATATCATGATGCGAACGATTTACACGAGTGTGTGTGTGTGGCGTGTGCGGGTGTTTCTGCGAAGCGTTAGTGCGGCTTCCGTGAAAAATCGTGCACGGAAACCCCAATTGGGCGTGACTGAGTCTAATTTATTTAGTAGCGCAAAGGAGAGACAAGGTTCCGGTGCGGCTCGACGTCGTGGTTGCGCCATTGTATCGGCAGCTTTTCACTTGCTTTGAAATATCGTCGTTCTTGCGCGAGCTTGTTCGATCCCCACGAGCTCGTGGAATTAATTCCACGAAGAAACGACTGCCCGATAACATTGTCTCTCGATTGTCTCGGTTTATTCGGAGAGGAGGGGATTCGAGCGTGGAAAAATAAATTCCAACCCCCCCCTTCGATGAAATTTACCGCAAACGTTCCATTTTGGTATTATTTTTTTTTTTCTCCCACTTAGTTCGTAATGTAAAAATTCCTGGACGAATGGATACGATTATTCGCAATTCCACGAGGACAATAGGCGATACATCAAGGGGGAGTGTTCAGGTATTGAGAATATTTCGACAACGTGGTAAGGGGCGCGGGCAGATGCCACGTTGCGCGACACGCTTTCTGAATACAAAACGCGAATCTCGCGTATAGTCGGTCACCGAATCTACTTGGGAGGGCTGGTTTACAGGACAAGGAGGCAATAATCCGGGAATGTTTCGACCAATATTGCGAAAGTTTCACGGATCGACTCGTCGAAGGTCGAAGCTCCCTTCCTTTTTTCTCTCTGTGCCACGGTTGACATACGAATGAAAGGGGAGAAGAAAAAGAAGTGCCGCCCGATGGGATTCGACGCACACTCGTTTCGACGTTGACTAATGTCCACGAGATTTCGAGAGAATTTTTACCCCTTTTTTCCCCTGTATATACGCGAGAATAGATAGATAGTCGTTGACGCGAGTTTGCAAATTTTCGTGTTTCAGATTGTAGCAGATTGAAACGGTGGGCAATTTACACGGCACGCGTGCTATAAACGAAACGTTCGCTCGATCGAGAGCTATGATAATCCCGTGTAAAGGGTATTTTCGTTGTAACATTTTTGCTATCGGTTCATCATTACGATCGAACTATATATATGCGCACGGATAGATCGTATCGGACCAGTTTAAACCGGTGTTCGCCGCTTTTACTTCCCATTGCTAACGGCACGCGTGTGTCACGTTTAATCACGCGAGATCATTGGGCACGTAATCGGTTGTAAACGGCCCCTGATGATGGGCACGATCGTTCCCGAAGACGATGTGAACTCAAGATGATCGTGAAACCTCGTTTAACGGGCCGCTTAATAGGCCAGATAACGCGATCACATCAGAGGAAACGTACAAGGGTGGCTCCTTTGTGGCCGTTCTGAACCATTGCTGCCAGAAAATTACAACCTCGATGACGTTATACCATCGAAGGATGGTAGTTTGATCAAAATCACGTTTACACCACCGATCCACCCTTCACCGAAGAACCAAAAACTTGCTGTTCTTGACAAAAAAAAAAAAAATACGAAGCTTACATCACGGTTCAACGAGAGAATATAGAGGTATAATTTTAAAATACATCAACATTTTCCTGTAGAAGATGCGTGTCGGATATCATTTAATCGAATTGTCCACGATTTCATAGAAATAGAAGGCTCGCCAACGCTGCTTTTTCCACGCTTTTCATCCTCCCCCACAATTTTCACGATTCCCAGTCCCTTTTATTACGGCCGTCGCGTGACAGAGTTTTTTTTAAAATCGAGGACACTCGTAGCCGGGGATATTATTAGATATCCCCGCAGTTGGTGCAAAGTGGCCAGTAAAAGAGTCTTGTCAGGCGCGACCGCCGAATCCTGGACGGTCTCGGGTAGGTGCGATCCAAGCAGGCAGAGATCTCGTCGACGTGTAACTACGTATGTAGAGTAACGTAATCGCCATCGTGCCCGGTAATATCCGTGGTTGGCCGTAAAGGGAGTTCGTAAACGGCTGGTACGGCTTTCCGCTTCTTTCCGCCCTGTATCTTATTCCTCCGCGGGAATGACTATTCGAAACGTGCGGTGTACCCGATGGAAAACGAGGCGAAACGGAGGATGAATATAGACTTTGCTTCCTGTTATTCCTACGTGCCGCGATCCACCGAGTAAACCGTTTCCTTTTAACCTTAAATGCCGATTAAATTCGCTGCGGTTTGATCATTATATTGCGTTTCGTATAATTGTAAGTAAGGAATGCGTCTCGACGGAGCAGAGTTAAATAGCGATCGAAGAAAGGACTTTTCTAACGTTTTTAGAGAACGATCGAATTGATGGAAATGTTTAAATTTTGAAAGTAGCTCGAATAATGTAACTACAGCTTTTTTTTTTAAATTTAAATAATAAAATATGAGTTCTTCCGTCTTTCCTTTGACCGTTGAAGAGTAATTGAATCATGAATATTTTGTACAACGTGAACGACCAAGCTTGATTATTAAACGTGTAGCTTTAAGTTAAATCGAGTTCAAGTAACGAAACTCAAAGTATCGAATCAGTTTTAAATGAAGATATGACGTTGGAGAATGTTGTTACAACTCGTACTGCTAGGTGGTTACATTTGGCGTGGTTCTGGTTCGTAAGCTCTGATACACGGCGGCTCGAGATAATTAGCAGCAAGCTTGATAGCGTTTCTCCACGATGCTCGTCAAGAGACACGGTTAATTGTGAATCATCAGGAGTGGATGTATCGTGGCATTAGCGCGGCGTTTAAAGGGGCGGATTTCCTGTACGTTTGTCGTGGATCTTTGCGGGTTTCTGGCCGCGGATGCACCACTTTAATTAGCTTTTCTTCCAACCGATAGTTTATCCTCGTCTATCCACCACCGACGATCCTTTAGCTCAGCCAAGGATTCGAAGAGTCGCGTAATTGACACGCGAAATTGTCTCACGTGTTTGGCCACCGGTTTATTTACTCCAAAACTTTCGAGCGTTCGTCGGAGTTGCAGGCACCGAGTTGCCGACAAACCAAATGGAACTTCTCCCAGTCAGCAAACTCGAAAAGCAAAGCTTACGACATCTGAAGTCTTAATGGATATTTTGACAGGATAATTACCGCGTGGTAATGAGTTTCGTTATATTATTCTCTTTTTTCCACGAATATCACGAAAAAACGCTACGAAAAAATGGAAGAAAAAAAATTATGAATATCTTATTCGAGAGAATTTTAATTGATTATTCATCGAGAAAATTTATTCGTACGAGATTTTTGAATTTATTTAAATATATCCATTCATAATAAATTTTTACGACTGACTCTCTATTTCTTCATTCGAATATGCAGAGGCGCATCATTAGTTTTTCTTACTCGATCCTGAAAATGCAAGCGAGGAAATTACATTTTATAACGATCAGTTGAAAGGAATGAAAAAGTGCCATCAAATTGTCAACTACCATAAAATATCAAGATTCAGATCGTAAAGCCAGATTACGATGCAAGGTAATTATCTATTTTAATTGTGAAGCGTATCCAATATTATCCGAATGGCTGCAAAAATAAAAGCATGCACGCATTGAATAATCGTTTAAACTCCAGAAATTTTCTACAAACATCATAAATAATAATTACCTAATTATTCGCGTGAAGTTCGCATCTTGAATGGATGAACAAGAATGAGTTTTTTCTGCTAGGAAAAACAGGAGAAAGAAGAAGAACATTCGTGAAACTGTTTAAGCACGTTTTCGTTTAAAATTACAACCTTAAAGAAGGTAAATTACATAACATAGTCGAGGCACAATTGCAGAGCATGTTTAATGAATCGTGCTCCAACTAACAACGAGGTAATCATTTGCGATGAAGTTGTGTTTTTACGGACTGTTTTGTTTTTTAGAGGGATATGCGGAAGACTTAAGACAGTTACGAGTCAATTAGAGCATAAATATTCGCGGCTCGTTTATGCCAACATTCTATTTTTAAAAATAAACAAATTTTTTTAAAGATAGTATATACATCATTATAATTGTGGAATTTAATGTATCGATTACACGCGCTCCAAATATCAGAATATTTATTTCATCCGGTCGTTTGTATCAGAAACATGAATAATAAGACATTTCAGTTGAATTATTCATACTTGATTACTCGTACAAAAGAATTTATTACATTTCTATCGTTCAATCGTATTTTTACGAAATTTTAATTTCTAAGCAATCATTTATTTGTTATTTTTCTTATATCAAATTGTTAATAATCAACTCATTAAGATGTATTTAAACTCGTATTTTCCTTAATCGAAAATATTTAAAGTTTTAATGAGCCACGATATGCCAATGATATACCGCGTTATGTTATTGAGCTTGCATAACCCGCCAAAAGAAAGCAAAACACTCGCGCCCTCTGCCCCGAAATCTTATTCGGTTCATGGAACGTGATCGGGAAGTGGACACATATAAAACTGTGTCGTGTTTGGCGGCGATGATGTCGTTATCTATAACCAACATAAAGCCGGTAGTATCGTCGCAGCTGTCTATTCGTAAACACGATCGCGTGTGTGGTAAGACGATATACGAACAAAAGAGACCAGACCAGTTGAGTTATTCGACACTTTACGCAGGTGAAACGCGATCGGATAAAGTAGCGGGATCTATGGATCGATCCGTAAATCTGAATCGTATTTGACGTAGTCGATAGTGAAAGGTGAGCGATCAGTCCCGATTCTGGTTTGCGTGGCGCAACAATTTTTCTTTTCTCTCGGTGTGAACAGGAATCGTGTGCCGGCTCATAGAGTTAGTCGTTAGTATTGCCCGTGTAAGTAAGCCGTGTGCGAGTGTGTATGTGTCTGTACAGTGTAGAGCACGCGTGATACTTGTCCCCTCGTCGCAGAGCAACGACATAACGATGGAGCATGAAAACGATACGAGGGTGAGGTTAAGAAGAACGAAAAGCGAAACAAGGGCCGAGGAGATACAAAAGGCAGAACAGATGGTGCGCAAATCTCAACCTGACAAACCGTGAGTATTTGTTTTGTAACACACAAAAACGCTCCGTTTTTTTTTCACACGAGCGTAATCGACTCAACTACTCGGCTTCTATACTGCATACGATTCACGAACGCACTCTGTTGTTTCCTCGACGATCAACAAAACTGTCGGTAATAAGAAACGGTCGAAAAGATGAAATCGGTCGACGACGAGAGCACAGTGACACAAAATTTTCAGGCTTCGTTAGCTGCTCTGACGTAATAGACGGCTTTATGAAGCAATACGCATGCGCATTTCACTTTAGATCGAGCGCAACTGGGAACGCGTGATCCCCTCCACGCGACGATGAATTCTTCGTCTCGTTTTAACACATATTCTTCTATACCGTTCTGTCACGTGTTATAATCGATGCGATGGTCAGTCGGTACTGTGGCTCACGGGAATTTTCTACAGCTCGTTTCATAACACCTTTTTTAATAATCCATACTTAACGAATCTTCGTATAAATAATCTCAAGGACTCGAGTTTCACTAATAAAAATATATTTCTTATTTGATAATCTTTAAGCTTTATGCTTATAATGAAATGAAAATATTTATTTTTCACAAAATTTTTATTATATCATAAAAACGAGAGATTTATTGTGCTAAAAATTTGATTCTATAGTTGGAAATTTAGAAATTTTAGAATGGAACATTTTGGAATATTAGTTATTTGTTATTTAAATTTTAGATTTCGTAGATTATATATATCTTATTATTGAGAAATCAATAAGTTAAGATTTTATCGTCCGAATAATGGAATAGGGGCAAGGTACAAAGTCAGTCTCATCATGACTATCCGATTTTATTTCTTGATTTAGTTTGCGCATATAAAAAATATAATAATATTTTGGAGTGTATATCTCTGATAATTGGACGTGAATTTTAACACGTCTTAATAAACTAAAATTATCAGTTGGAACCACGGCAAACTGAGGTGCGGTTTTATGAAATGACTAACGTTACAGTAAATATTTGTAGTGACATGGCTGATTTTCAAAATGAAGCTAGAAATGGAAATGAATGGTGCAAAGTTCATTCAGTAGAACGGACACGAGGACAGACAATTGAATGCAGTTCTTGAGTGCACGTCGTGGAAACGAAAACTTTCTTAACGAGCCGTTCGGCCCTCTCTAATGGAACTGCACGTCAAGAAAACACGACTAAGATAATTCGTTCCCTAGCTATGGCATAATTATTGAGTTTCATTCTTCTTCTCGCAGCGCGCACGATGTATAACGCCAATCCTTCCCAATTTCTTTGCAATGGCGAAACTTATCTCGATGCAAGGCCCGCGATAACCGACACTGATATTCAAGGTTCATACTTGAAAATAATGAGAATGTCGGATAAAGTCATTTCAACTTTTAAGCGAAACGAATGACAATTAACTGTTCCAACTTTGCGATTAATACAATATCTTCAGACGTTAGGAATAAATAACGAATACGTCAAGGAGCGTTAATCAACTCGTCGCTGATACATATTTCTTTTTTTCTTGTTTCTTGGATTTTCTAATAAATCAAACCTTGTCCGATCCGTATCGGATGAATCTTAATTACGTGTCAATACTTCAGGCCTCTGGTTTTTGAGTTTTAACGAATTGAAGAAAATGTTGAAGTGACGTTTTAGTCATTCTAGTTTAATTCCTTTTTTTCAACGTTTAAATTAAAAATATTGAATTATCGTTATTTGCTTTTTTTACACGGATAATTAATAATTCGTTTCTTTTTTTTGTAAGAAGTTAAGGATTTTTGTTTTTCCTTTCTAAATAGTAATTTTGTCTAACGATATATCATTATTCTTTTAGTCGTACATCCTTTTTTTATATAATTCTTTTTCTGAAATTTTTTTACACACAGTTGTAAGTATGCAATTATACTTCGTACGTGTATATTGCAGATCGTAAAGAGAAACGCAGAAAATATTTTAGATGGCAGCTTAAGGTCGTTAATAATCCTGAAATAACGCTTGCTTTTCTTTGCTCTAAAGATTGTATGTATACGGATTTCTATCATGTTTAACCGATAACGTTGTTAGTTTATGCACTGAATTGTCTTAAGATATATTTGCACGCTATTAGATTAGAGTTTGCTGATATATAAATAGCAATATATCAGGCTTAATCGGGGCTCGCTTCGGTTACATAAACAGAACGTTGTCCGTGTGTTAAGTTGATGGTATTTTATTGCGAAGCGTAACATTAGCATACACACGTAAATTTAACCACGGTATTTGTTATCCTATTCGTTACGATTAATTTCATCGGGGTAAAAAAAAAAAAACAAATAAAAAATCAATATAATCGAAACAATAAATATATCATTTTCGTTAAACTATATATGTATAACTGGATTTTTGTCGTTACAGCTTGCAAATTATTTATTTTCTAATGCTTTTCTAATCTTACGAATGTAGAGCAAGCATGGTGGCAAACAAAATTCCAACCTTCATTTAATAAGCGTCAAACGGAAGTTATTGACACGTGGAATGGTAGGACAATGTAACTTCGTTTGATATCAAATGTTATGACGCTTGTTGCGAGAATGCACTCGCGAACGGATTCTATTAATTAACCAATCAAACGCTCAAAAACCACGCGCTTGGTCGAATCACACAGAATCATATACACAGCTTTAGGTAACACGAATCGGAACAACATGTTGCATTATTCTCTTTGTGACAATTACAGAATAATTCTCATAGGCATGCTTGTAACAAACCACATACCTTTGTTCGCTGTAATTAATAATCTCTCATCTGCTTTTACACGTGAGAAACTTGTAGTAATTAATCGATTTTTGTCTTTTCCTTTAATCGAGTACAATATGGTATCGAATCGGGTAAACAATGGATGTTTCGAATTGTAGTTATTTACATAATATCGGGGCCAAAGTTCAAGGCGTGGAATTAGTGGAGGATTTTAAATGAGAGGAATTAATTAAAATTCGACGATAGATTCGTTAATACGATTGTTCGACACGTTAATTTATATTTCTTTTCTCCAAGAGTTTTCTTAATATTTTTAAAATAATCGACGAGTTTCGTGTCCCGAGGAATAGCCAGTGTATTTACTCTAGCATGATCTTAATTAAAATGTTAATTTTATTTGATGAGATAGGAAAACGCGTGACGATAGAAAAAAAATGGTGGACGAGTAGGATAATCTGGTATATCAAAGAAATACTTTCGTACGCATTTGCGCGAGCATTGAGGTATCATAAATTTATGATTGGTTTATGGGGGTATCCAATTCAAAACGTAGATATCGCGAACCAGGTGCGTTCCTGCAATCGGAATCGCTAATCAAAGAAATCCTGGTAGCGTTTTCTGATAAAGTAGCGAGGAAAAGCTAACTCTCGTTAATATTTCCTCCGTAAACAAAAAGGGAGGTCGACGGGCTGGAGAATCCGGAGCAGTGGGCAAATTCCATTTGTTCAGATTTATGAAGTTTCGCGCGCGCATGCGGCTTTAATATCTATCCGCCGTGGAAAAAAATTTAATCAAGTCCCCTGGTCTAATCGAGCGCGCGATCAAAAATTAATGCGTTAAAAACAGGATTAAATCTGGAGAAGTATTAAAGAAGTAAAAAAAAAAAAAAATGAAAGATTACAGGGTTTTCGTTAGGATTTTAGAGGCGGGACAGGATCAAGGAGAATGATGTTGCAAATAGCATTTCGTGAAAAATAAGAGAGAGAGAGAGAGAGAGAGAGAGAGAGAAGAGAAAAGAAAAAAATAAAACGTAACCTAAC